GGAAGAACTTGATGTAATAGACACTATGACCCAGGTTTCTTCACTTACACTCTCTGTTTTCTCACATTTAAATTTGAGAAAATAACTGAATCTCTCAGTGCTTCAGTTTCCTCACCTACTAAATGAGAATAATAGTGCTTCTCTCAAAAGTTGGCTGTGGAGATGAGATAATCCATGTAGATAAAATGCTTAGCACAGTAGCCAACACACAAGATTGTATAAATATTAGCTATTATTATTATCATTATCATTATTATAAATTCAGGGTACCCAAAATGATTTGGAAGTGCTTCATAAGGTATAAAGAGCTTTTCTAAATGCAGCAGATAGTTTTTATATTATCCCCAAGTGCTTCTGCTGCTCAGAATAATGGGAGATTGATTCTGGCCCTAGGGAATGTGGATGGGCTTCCAAGAGGAGGCAGCATTTAATCCAGACTTGGAAATGTCAGAACTGTCTTCACTCCACAGATGGGCTGCTGCCTGACAAGCTGGACAATTGGCCTCTTCATTCTGGAGAGTTCCAGACTGAGACACAAAAATGAAATCCATGGAATTCAGGGCAGGCTGTGAGGTGACCATGGGCACATTCACCAGTTCCTGATTAGAGGCAGATGCCACCACTACCCCCATCTTTTCATGGCTTGGATGATTTAAAAAAGAAATTTAAAAAGAAGCACCAGGTAATAAACTTATAGAACTCATTTCCCCAGGAGGCTACTGGGGTGAAAATTTTAAATCATTTCCCAAAAAGCTTAAATTCATGAGTGAGTGATTCCTAATGGATTATCAAAGCCTGTTAGGAAGGAAATTCTTAAACTTTAAGGTTGAAGTCTTGGAAAACAGGTGTACTCTCTGATGAAACTTCTCTCTGCACCTCTGTCACAGACAAAATATTAGACTGCATATATCTCTCTGAGGTGACTCACTGTGACAATTCAGTTAGACAGTCACTGCAAGGAAATGCCCAAAATAGCACTTTGGACCAGAGAGGGCCAGTACAGGGCACCTGCACCATCACTCTTCCTGACAGATTTGTGGCAGACATCACTAGTCCATCCCAGCACCATTTCCCATGGAGTCCCATGATAGCTCCAGTCTCTTACCTAGCATAGAAACAACTCGGCAATCCCTGATAGACACCACACCTTTACTCAAGATGAAATGAGGCCCAAGGAGTGGAAGCCATTGGCCCAAGATGTTTGCTCCAGGGTTATCCCTTTAAAATCTCTAGACAGGCAGGCAGGCTAGTGTGGGAGGCAAATAAAATCTGGTGTCCAGTCTCATGTCCATGCCTCTATCCCTTGTGATTCAGAGATGTATAATCCTACAGGTACTTCCCTCCTTTCATATTAATAAACCTGCTGTTTACTTCATGTAACAGATGTCTGGACTTAGAGAATAATGCACATGAGTCAGGGAGAGGAGGAGTAGAAAGAGGAAGAAGAGGGAGGAAGAGGAAGAGGTGAAAGGAGGAGAGAATCATGTTTGCACTGCATTTGACATTCATAAACACCTTTATATCAATCATTATTGCATTTAATTCTCTCTATCTTCCCAGTTTCACAAAGAAAGAAAAACAAATGAGGCTCAAGGAGGCAAAGTGACTTGCCTAAGCTCACACATCTCCTCAGAGGCAAAGCTAAGGTTCAAATCAGTCCTCTGTACTACACTGAGCTCGTTTTTCACTCCCACGAACCAGGATTCCGTTGGAAGTAAACCTTTACTCTAGGTGTCAAAAGCACCTGTCTTGCACATGGATTGAAAGGGCAAATCAGCTAGATCAGACCCTGTGTCCCAACAGCATGACGGATTCCTCTAGACCATGCTGTTTTGTCCCTGGCTCTCCTGCTGCCTGGAGAATGAAGACATATCTGTTGACACATTAGCAGAGAATGTCACACTATGACAGCTGTAGCCAGCATTTGGGTACCAGATGTCCACTATCTCCCAGGCCAGATCTCTGTCCCTCTCTAATGGGGATATCAGTGCTGCTAGAAATAACGTAATTAACTAACTACCTATTACTGACTCTCCGAACAAATATTTATTGAGTGTTTACTATGTTCTGGGCCCTGGGACAGGCCCTGGGGACAAAGGCAGGACAGTTCATGGAGCTTACATTAGTAGTAGCAGTAGTAGTAGTAGTAGTAGTAATAGTAGTAGTAGCAGCAGCAGCAGTAAGGATAAATAATGAACATGTTTATAAGTAAGTGAAGAAAATAAGAAAATAACATCAGAAGTGATACATGTGATACAGAGCACTGCAGGATTAAGTAGGGCATGCCTGCTTTAGACAAGGCTCTTTGAGGAGGTGACATTAAGCTGAGTCTTTAAGGATGAAGAGGAGTCATTCATGTAAAAAGAAGACAGAAGAGTATCCCAAACAGTGTTAAGAACAAAGGCCGAGGCCACAGAGCTTGCGTTCAAGGAGTAGAAGGCCAGTAGGAAGCTAAAGCAAGATGAGAAAACCAAAGCCCTGGGAACTGGAGCAATTTGAGTACGATCTCACAGGCATTTTTGATGATATAAATTAAACAGACATCCCAAAATGGATTGCCACGTTGTAAACAGTTTCCCCAGGTCTTTGTCAGAAAGCTGCTGACCTGCAGCTCAATATTCACCTCTTCTCCCCGCTCAGTTCCCTCTTGGCGTCCTAATTTTCCCAGAGTAATTTCACAGTAACTCCCAGGCAATTGACTGCAGTGTCACCAGCCAGAGATGATCAACTGAGCTGAGGTGGGCTGCAAGGAAGGAGAGGACATGCTCTCTGGACAAGAGAGTTCCTTTCTGCTTGCAAAGGACCTTCTCCAGCAGGAAGAACAGCAAAGGCAGGGGAAATAGCATATCAAATGACATGATCAACTAGGCAGGTCTGGTTTGCTTTTCCAAGAGCATAAGCTAATCTCGAAAACTGGGGCTGGGGGCTGGGGAGGGGGGGCAACTCCCTGGTTCTCTTCATTCCACTTCTGCAAACTACTTCCTATGCAATTATTTTATCCCTTGCTCTGGGTTTATTTCTAACCTCTAGAAAAGCTCTAGTATTTAGAAGGCACCTAATAACTATCAGCAGAATGAATGAACAGGTTATGCACGGTAAGACAAGGATGCAAAGGTGTATAAGCCTTATTAGTCAGAGTTCTATGGAAAAGCAGAACCAATCAGATATATATATAAATGTATATAAATATATAAATATAAATATACAAATATATAAATACATACATAAATATATAAATACATATAAATATATAAATACATATAAATATACAAATATATATAAATATATAAATATAAATATATATAAATATACAAATATATAAATATATACAAATATATAAATATATGTAAATATATAAATATATGTAAATATATATAAATAGATGTAAATATATAAATATATAAATACATATATATATATGTGTGTGTGGAGAGATTTAGTACGAGGAATTGGTTCACATGATTATGGAGGCTAAGTCCCATGAGCTGCTGTGTGCACAAGCTGGAGACCCAGGAAAGCCAGTGGTATAATTCCAGACCAAGTACAAAGGCTTGAGTACCATGAGAATCAGTGATGTAAATCCCAGTCCAAGGGCAGAAAAGGATCTATGTCTCAACTCAGCAGGCAGGAAACAAAAGGGGTGAATTCCTCTTTCCCCTGCCTTTTTGTTCTATCCAGGTCGTCAGCGGTTGTATGATGCCCACCAACTAGGGAAGGGCAATCTGTTTTACTGAGTTCACCAGTTCAAATGCTAATCTCATCCAGAAACACCCTCACAAACACATTCAGAAATAATGCTTAATCTGGGCACCCTTGATGGAATCAAGTTGACACATAAAATTAACCATCGCAAAGCCCATTCATTCTTTATTCCTTATCAATAAGCACTATACGCCTGCTATATGTATGGCACTGTGCTCGACATGAAATAGGAGAAGCTAAAAGATGGAAAAGGTATGCATTCACTGACTCATTCAATCATGCAACCTATGTTGGGTACACGGACTAATGTTCCATAGCATTTTGTAGTCACTTGGCTTCATTTTATAGTTGCCATTTAATAGCACAGTCCTTGGCGTCAATCCTGAGTTCAAATCAGGTCTGATCATCTGGACAACCTTGGGCAAGTTACTTAACCTCTCAGTTTCACCATCAGAAAAATGGGAATAATAATACATTTATTCCTGCGTTATTACGTCTTCAAGCAATAACGTGAAAGGGGTGTAGCAGCGATCTTCGCACATGGTAAGTGCTCAACAAACGGTAGCTAGTCTCATTATTATAATGTATGTTATTTTTTATCTTCCTGTTAATACTTTGAAGAAGGTATTTTTTTCCCTCATTTTTACAGGGCTGAAAGTCATAGAAAGTTACATGGCCAAATACCTCAAGGAACCAGAACTAAGTTGAAGCCTTTGCCATCCATGGCAATGATATCTCTAAACTCATGACTTCTGACCCAAATAAAGCATTTGGGAGGCTTATTAGACACCATAGTAGCAAGCTTCACAATTGAGGCTCACTTTCTAGGTGGAGTCACTGAGGCCAGAAAGATTGAGCAAATTGTCCAAGGTCAACAGTCTTGGTGGAGCTAGGAATCAAATCAAAGTTTCTTGGGTTTTGAGGTTCTTACTATGTGACAGACAAGACGCTCAACTCCAAAGATGTTAAATTAAATATGGCCCAGGCCCTACACTTGAGAACACTCAATCTAGGGAGGCATGGGCAATTAGAATAGAGATGTATCTTTCTGAGAAGAACGATTCTTTAAGAATTTGACTGCAGTCTTCACATGTATATGAAGCACTGTCCTTTGAAAGGCAAAGTAAAAGGTAGCATAACACATTGACTTTGGGTCCAGTAAACCCAGGTTCAATTCCCACCTCTTTCACTCTCAAGCCTTGTGACCATGGGCAAGTCATTTAACTTGATGGGCATTTAACTTGCTGAGCAAACCTCAGTTTGCTCAACTCTAAAATGGACATGATAACAACACTTACCTCCATAGGCGGCCCACAGCCCATCAGGAATGGGCTCCATCTTTAGTTCTGCCCCTTCCCTGAGGATTTAAGTCAAAGTAGAGCAGAGACTCTAGGGATCTTGTTCATTGGAGTATGTCTGGCACATAGCACCGGCACTATGTGGCTAGAGGAGGGTGACCAGAGAGAGGCAACCTAGGCAGAGGGGAAAGCATGAAAAAAAAATCATGAAGGTGTGAAACAAAGGGGTGCATTCAGAAAACTGGAAATAATGAGTAGGTATGGCTGCACCTACAAAGGAGTATGGCAAGCGGAGTGGGCAGGGACATTGGCAGTGGAGGGGAAGGCGGGAACCTATCGGCTGTGATGCAGACCTGCACTTTACCCCCTAGTTCCTTACCTTGAGTTCTACGTCAAGTCTATTCAGCCCTGTATTTCTCACGAGGGGGCTGGGCCAGACACTGTGAATTGTCTACCCAAAGACTATTTATAACCAATTTCTCCTTGTCTTTCTCTATTTCAAAGGTTGAGAAGGGTAAAATAACCTATTTCCCACCTGCCTGGAGAACTGTACACACAGCTGTGGCCAGCGAGATGTAGCAGAAGCCCCAGGGAATGCTTTTCCTTCTAGGAAAAGTCGTGCATGTACACATGTGTGCATGTGTGTGTGTGTGTGCTGTGTGTGCATGTGTGCATGAATGTATGTATGTTGGCCTTTTCTCCTTGGTGATGCTTGCCCCTTCCCCCTTCTTTCCTACTGGAAGACTCTTAGGGATGCAACAGCCATGGTGCAACTAACTATGAGGTGACAAGCATGAGAGTATAGGCCTACGTGGTAAGAAAGGCGATGAAGCACTTGGTCTATTTGACAAATAATCCTTTATGTGTTTAAGCCATGGAAGTGTTTTTCTACTACGTGTAACCAAAAGCAATCCTGGTTTATGCAAGGACTTGCTAGCCACCCTATCCGGGTAGCTCTGCTTAGATAAATCTTTGCTGATTCCTCTTCTCCTTGGACCAGTCTTCTGTATGTTTCCAATTGGGCTCATCGAGATGCAGCCCCTGCCCCCGTAAGGTTTAGATTTGAAGTCGTTCCACACCATGATCCTGATTTTGTGACCAAGACATTTATTTCCTTTCATTATCAAGGTGAGACGTAAGACAGAAAAGACTTACCGACAGATGCACGGCCTCTGTTTTGTGGCTTTGTCTCATGCTGTTTGGGCTCCCAGCTTCCTGGCTGCTCCGTCTGCCACGCTGAAAACACTGCCACTCCCAGGATACCAGGCTTAGAAGAAGTCTTTCAGGGAATTGTGCTGGAGCAAGAGCAAATCTCAATATGTTTATCCTTATGTTTTTTCTTTTGTGCATTGCCTAGAGGATAATTAGGATTATGCTAATCTCTTTACTGTATGTTTTTTTTTTTTACTTCTACAATAAGCTCTTTGGAACCAAAGGGAAGAGCCCAGAGGGAAGATGGACATGGAGCTTACACCGTAAGGACAGACCAGAAACAGAAGGGAGAGAGTCAGGCAGCCCTGTCACCAGGGAAACCAGAGGAGGGTTTGTGGTGTCAGCAAAAACTGACAAAGACTTGGAAATGAACAAAACCAAGCACTGGCTGTCCTCTCCCTGGAGTACTGTGTATTATCCCGTGGATCTCCAGGGATTACCTACTCTTACCAAGATGAGTACCTTTGGCTGACTTCAATCAGCTGGGCTATTTTACAGCTCTCTATGGGTAGAAGTTATAGACAGCTCACGGTAATGCAAATGATTCTTGTCCATATCAATGAAAATGAATTTTATTGGGAAAAATATAATCCCAACCATTACATTTTATTGCCCAAGAGCAGTGGATCTCAAAGTGTCACCTGCGTACATCAGGAGATTGCCTGAGATGCTTTCAGGGAGCCTGTTAAGTCAAAACCATTTTCATAATAATAATAAGGCACTATTTGCCTTTTGCACTCTCATTTTCTCATAAGTGTATGGCGACGTCTTCCAGAGACTACACGACTTGTGATGCTTAGTATTGCTTAGTATTGCTGTGACAGCAAATGGAATTTCGCCTGTGTATTCTTGTGTTTTAAAAATGTCTCGGTTTTAACTTCTAAAACAGCAAGTATTAGGCGGGCATAGTGGCTCATGCCTGTAATCCCAGCACTTTCGGAGGCCAAGGCAGGTAGATCACTTGAGCCCAGGAGTTCAAGACCAGCCTGGCCAACATGGCAAAACCCCGTCTCTACTAAAAATGAAAAAAAATAAAAAATAGCCAGGCGTGGTGGCACAGGCCTGTAATCCTAGTTACTCGGGAGGCTGAGGCATAAGAATTGTTTGAACCCAGGAGGTGGAGGTTGCAGTGAGCCGAGATCTCACCATTGTACTCAAGCCTGGGTGACATAGACTCTGTCTCAAAATAAACAAATAAATAAATTTAAAAACAGCAAATACTGATAGATATAACCCACATAAATAAAAGCTCTTTGAGAGGTCCTAAATAATTTCTAAGCCTGTAACGATAATCCAAAACCAAAAAGGTTGAGGTGGCCCTGTAGAATATGAACTAATTTAATTAATTTTGCATCTATCAGCAAATTTATTTCAGCATCCCTGATTGGGGTGTGTGTGTGTGTGCATGTGTGTGTGTTCTCCTTGAAACTGTCTTCATATCTTACCGATCCTTTATTAACTAATGAGTTAAATAAAATTTTTATTCATTTTATATCTGAATGTCATGTTTTTAACTTTTTGAAAAATTATGCTCAAATACTAGGCTTGGAGTAGAAGAGGGAGACGTGAGGTGTGGCCAAGAAGAAGATCAAAGAACCAAGACCACGTGGAAGGCACCCAGGCAGCCTGGGATGGGTCTTATATTCTCCCCGTGCCCAGCAGCATGGAGCCATGTAGGAGTCCAGTCAACACCCCAGACTATGCCTCGTCATTCAAGCAAGGACAGGCCCTGAATCAAGTCCTGCCTAGCAGCCCAGGTCCCCCATGGACTATCCAGCAGCAGGACTCCAGCCATACCCAGAGGCTTTGCTAAGCCTATCCAGAGTTTCCGACATGGAAATCCCACTTTTCAATGGCCCTGTGTTTTAGCAAGCCTCTTCAAAACAAAAGGCAAAGCTCTTGACACCCAGAAGCAGGTGTAGAAGGGAAAGTCTTGCTCCCAGTCCTAGAGTAAAACTGGGCAATGTCACCCCATCCAACAACATGGCCTAAACCCCAGAAAAGGCAAGAGACCTGCCCAAAATAGCACAGACTCTTGGAGGAGGAGACAGGAGCAAAATGCAGGCACCCATCTCCCAGCTCAGGGCTCTTGCTCCTGCTTTCTACTGTCTCATTATGCCGACAAATTCACTAATGCGTGCACTCAATGTTCCTTGGAGTCAATACCTTTGTAAAGGCCATCAGAGCTCCCAAGAGGAGGCAGGATGTGGATTTTGTAAGCTCCATCACTGGCTCTTCTGTCTTTGAGCAACCCCTTATCCTCACTGAGCCTCAGTTTCCTCACCTGATTGTGAAGATGGTAAGAGGAATAAAACAAGCTAGCCAGATGTTGAACCCACAGGAGTTGCTGAACAAACATTTGCTGACTCAAAATCCTTTTCTCTTTAAATGAATTCCTGCCTATTGCTCTCCAGCCTGAATGGAATCCAAGTGCTGGCCAATGGAGAGGCACCAGCAGTGCAAGGAGAGTGGGTGGGAGCCAGCTGGGCTGGAGGGAAATCATTCCTGGTCAAATGGAGTCACGTGGTATGGAAGACTTTTAAAGGAATCCTTTAAAATGTGTGTGTGTGTGTGTGTGTGTGTGTGTGTGTGTGTGTGAAAGAGAGAGAGAGAGAGAGAGAGAGAGAGAGAGAGAATGTGTGACATCCCCTTAGTGTAGCAGATATAATACTATAAATGCATGAGTATTCCTGTAGTCCTCTCCTCCCAGATGCTAAAAGGGGAGGATTCTTGCCTGCAATCTCAGCCTACATCTCTCCTTGGCTGGGGAGAATTTAGGATAATGGGCAAGACAGAGAGAATTTAAGGACTCCTGAGAGGCTGTAAGAATCTAGATAAAGGGTTGGCAATCTATGGCCCGTGGGCCAAATACAGCCCTCGACCTGAGCTAAGAATGGTATTTAGATTTTTACTATTTTATTTTATTTTATTTTATTTTATTTTATGAGAGTTTTACTCTGTCACCCAGGCTGGAGTGCAGTGCCACAATCTTGGTTCACTGCAACCTCCACCTCCCAAGTTCAAACAATTCTCTGCCTTAGCCTCCCCAAGTAGCTGGGATTACAGGCGCCTGCCATCATGCCCGGCTAATTTTTGTATTTTTAGCAGAGACGGGGTCTTGCCATGTTGGCCAGGCTGGTCTCAAACTCCTAACCTCAAGTGATCTGCCCTCCTCAACCTCCCAAAGTGCTGGGATTACAGGTGTGAGTCACTGCACCCTGCAGGTATTTAGATTTTTCAATGGTTGAAACAAAATCAAAACAAAGTACTATTTCATAGCATGAAAATTATATAAATTTCAAATTTCAGTGTACACAAATAAAGTTTTAATGAAACATGGCCACGCTCGCTAATTTAAATATTGTCTGTGGCTGCTTTGCGACTACAGTGGCAGAGCTGAGTAGTTGCTGCAGAGACCATGTGGCCCGCAAAGCCAAAATATTTCACTGGTCCTTTAAGGAAGAAGTTTGCCAACTTGATCTACACAATAAGCCAAGAGAGAGGAAACAGAATGCGGGCAGATTGAGTATCAGGAAGAATGTGAAGGAGGGAAGTGGGAGTTAAGGGCGGTGGGGGAGGCGGGGGGGCAAAAATATCTGGGGGTGAGTGAAGCAGCCACCATATCCATGAAAATGAAAATACTGAAAGAGAAAAGCAGCATTCGAGAGAGAGGATCTTCAGAATGTTTTGTATTTTAAGAATACACCAGGGGGCCAGGCGCGGTGGCTCACGCCTGTAATCCCAGCACTTTGGGAGGCCAAGGCAGGCTGATCACAAGGTCAGGAGATCGAGACCATCCTGACTAATATGGTGAAACCCAGTTTCAACTACAAAATACAAAAAAAAAAAAAAAATGAGCCGGGCGTGGTGGTGGGCGCCTGTAGTCCCAGCTACTCGGAATGCTGAGGCAGGAGAATGGGGTGAACCCGGGAGGCGGAGCTTGCAGGGAGCCGAGATGCACTCCAGCACGTGGAGTGCACTCCAGCATGGCTAACAGAGCCAGACTCTGTCTCAAAAAAAAAAAAAAAGAATACACCAGCCAGACACAGTGGCTCGCACCTGTAATCCCAACACTTTGGGAGGCCGAGGCAGGCACATCACTTGAGTCCAGGAGTTTGAGTCTGGGCAACATGGCGAAACCCTGTCTCTAAAAAAATACAAAAAAAAAATTAGCCAGGCATGGTGGCACGCGCCTGTAGTCCCAGCTACTTGGGAGGCTGAGTTGGGAGGATGGCTGGAGTTCAGAAGGCAGAGGTTGCAGTGAGCCAAGATCGTGCCATTGCACTCTAGGCTGGTTGAGAGACTGACTTTGCCTCAAAAAAAAAAAAAAAAGTAAAATTAAAAAAAGTTGGTAAAGTTTTGTTGATACGGATACAAACATGTCATAAAAATTAGAAAACATATATGAGGGTAATGTATGTCACCAAATACAAGACAGTGATTCCCTCTGGCAGAAAAAGAGTAAGGGGAGATAAAACTATATCTGTCATATAGTGAGCCTTTCAAATTAAAAAATTGTATATTTTAAGAAAATAAGCTGTTAAGAAATGAAAGAAGAAAAGGTTAATTAGTGATACAGATGAAACAACACGAAGTGATTTTTTTGTCATTGTCCCTGATATCCAGGACTAGGGAAGTGAAAGGCCAAGTGAGCGCCTCGGTCCCAGGCTCCTCTACACTACTTTTTGTTGTAGTTGTGGTTGTGGTTGTGGTAGTGGTGGTTGTTACGCTATATACTACTATTTTGCAGTGAATCTAAGGCATACATTTTTCCACGTTTTAACAACTCTGAAATAGGGCTGCATTTTACAATGGATGGTAGAAGATAATTAAATTGGCAGAGTTTTTTCCTTCCTTAGTGCTACAAAAAAAATAATGATTTGGCCGGGCACAGTGGCTCACGCCTGTAATCCCAGCACTTTGGGAGGCCAAGGCAGGTGAATCACGAGGTCAGGAGATTGAGACCATCCTGGCCAACATGGTGAAACCCCATCTCTACTAAAAATACAAAAATTAGCTGGGTGTGGTGGTGCACGCCTGTAGTCCCAGCTACTCAGGAGGCTGAGGCAGGAGAATCACTTGAACCTGGGAGGCAGATGTTGCAGTGAGCCAAGATAGCGCCACTGCACTCCAGCCTAATGACAGAACGAGACTCCGTCTCAAAAAAAATAAAAATTAAAAAAAAGGGATTCATCTTACAATCAGTGCTATATTAAATCTTCTTTCAAAGGGATAAATAAATAAAGATTCTGTTCTTCGGCATTCCATTGAGAGACCAAATGAGAAATGAAGCACTGTTGGTTTCCTTTTGGAAAGGGGAGCTTTTTTGAGTGAGACACTGTATTGTGACAGGGCCACAGGCAGCCCCAGGATTTA